CTCCAACTTCTCGTCTTCTTAAATACTCCAGAGTCCATTGGTGCAGCCATATGTGCACGGACATACTCAAGGGAAGGAAGAATTAAAACAATCTCTACTTGAAGATAACATAACAGTTTGTTCAGAATACTGCAAGTGACCCACCAGAAAGCTCTTATAACCACTGTTCTCGGCACTATCATGGGCACTAGACCCAAACTCAGAGCAAGTACACTGTTATCATTAACAGTGAGTAGGACTGAAAGGGAAAGCACTGCCTTAGAGAAAACTCTACTCTGGGGCATAAACTTCATAAAACATGTTTAGGATCTTTGGAAAGTGGAGTGGGCTGGTGGGAAAAACAGAATCCGACATAAATGAAGGTGCTGTGTTGATGGATTAGAAAGCTCAATAGGGCATGAGGTCAGTTCCTTCCAACTTGATCTTCTGGTTTAATCAACTGCACCAACTTCCCAACAAGGTTTTATAGACATAGGCCATATTTATAAGTTACACTGGGGCTGGAGGGATGGTTCAAGGAATAAGAGTGTGTACTATTCTTGCAGAGGACCTAAGTCAGGCTCCCAGAACCCACATCAGATGGCTCACAACGACACTAACTCCAGCTCCAGCTTGGTGGGTAGGTTGGGTGGGTGGGTTTCAATTCCCTCTTCTGATTTCCAAGGACACTGTACTCCTATGTGTACCTACACTCTGACATGAGAATACACATGACTTATTTTTATAAGTTATAAGGAAAACAAGACATAAGTCCTCGAACAACTAAAAGCTGGAAAAAGATAATGTGGAAGAAACACTGAAACTCACATATAGCATTACAAGAGTCAACACTGTGTGACACCAGCATAAACACAAACATACAGACCACTAGAACAAATCAGAAAATTCTGACACACATAAATACACCAACCAATTATCATTTTTATAAAGGTGTAAAGCAGTTCAATGAGGAAATAAATAATTCTTAAGGCTGAGCCATTTCTCCAGCCCAACAAATAGTTCTGAAACTAGACATTCACAGGCAGAAGGAAATGAGCTTCAACCTAAATTACATATTTAAATGTAAGATATAAAACTATAAAACTCTTAGAGAAAACTCTTTGGGACCTAGGCCAAGCAAAAAGTTTTTAAGACATGATAGCAAAAGCATGATCCATAAGAATAAAAATGGGTAAACTGGGCTTTATTGAAATTAAAAGTGTTTACTTTGCAAAAGATCCAGTATAGAGAATAGAAGGACAGACCATACGTACAATTCTTATGTGGAATAAAGGACTAGTATCCAGTATATAAAAAGAGCTCCTTAAACTCAATAAAGCAGAAAGAACCTAATTAGAAGAGGGACAATAAATAAGTAAGTAAGTAAGTAAGTAAATGCAGCTTTTTCCCAAAGAGGGTGCTAAGATTTTCAGCATCATCAACAGTAGGGAAATACAATTTAAAACTGCAAGAAGACACAACATACACCTCTAAGAACAGCTGAAGAAAGCCAGTGACAACACTAATGCTGACAAGGATGCAGAGAAATTGATATGTACAAAAGCAGCCCTGGGCACGAGCCTGACAGCTTCTTACAAAGATGAACACATCACTACAGTATGACCCCGATACTACCCTGTTGAACATTCATCCCAGACACACAGAAACATAGACACGGACACAAAAATCAAGCATAGTGGCTCAAGCCTGTCATCTCAGCACTTGGAAGGTAGAAGGAGGAAGATCAGCCAGCCTCAGTAACACGGTTAAGTTTGAGGCCAGCCTAGGCAACAAGAGACCATGTGACAACTAACCAGTCAGTCAACCAACCTAAAAGAATGTACATGAATGTTCAAAGAAGACCTATTCATAGTGAGTGGAAGTGGTGAAGAACCCAGATAGCCCTCACAGGTGATCAGAGAGGTGAACATTACTCAGCAGTAAGGTGGGAATTACTGTCCTGTCCAGTTGCTCACATGGAGAGCTCCACAGAAATGTTCTGAGAAGTCAGTTCCAAAAGACCAACCAAACTGCATGAATTCCATTTATAGACTATCCTATGTGGGGGGTATATAGTGCATGCACATGAGTGTGTGCTTGTGTAAAGAGGCCAGCAGTTGTCTTCCTCCAGCACTCCTGCCTCATGGCCTTGAGAAAGGGCCTCTCATTGAACTGGAAGCACGTTTCTGCCAGGCTGGCTGCCAAGCAAGCTCTGAGACATTATCTGTCTCTGATGCCCCAACCCCTAACAATGGGATTCACAGGTCTTGCCCAGCTTTTTACATGGGAGTTGGGATTCGAACCCAGGATCTCTACTTACAGAACAAATGCTCTTACTTAATGAACCATCTCCTCAGCTCCTTTGCAAGTCTTGAAATGACAAAATGATATAATTGGAAGAACTGATTGATCACTACCATGATCAGCAAGGCCAGGGACTGGGAAGGATTTAAAGTAGAAAAATTAATTTCTAGCTAGTTGTAGCAGATAAAATATGTTTAATGTAGAACAATGAGTAAAAAATCAGGTAGAAAAAAAAAAAAAAAAAAAAAAAAAAAAAAAAAAAAAGGAAGGGGGCCTGCTGGAAAGAAGGGCTCAGCTGGACTATGAGGGGATGAAAGAGAATGATAGGGTCTAAAAGCAACCAAAAGGCATTTTATACACATATGAAATTGTAAAGGAGTAAACATCTTAAATTACTAATTTTTTTAAAAATCCAGCTTAAAAAAGACATTATATAAAACCAAACCATCTCCTCCTTGTTAACAAATCTCGATTCTGTTGATAAGGAGGCCAGTAAAAGTTAACACTAAGAGCACACAAAAGAGAGACTTAACAGACTTGAGATGTACCTTTCTAAATATTTTTTTCTGGCTCCTAGGTTGAAAGAAACTGAGCCCTCCTGGTTCTGGGGTCCATAAAAGCAGCAAAAATAAAACCTGGTTCCTTGGAGGACAAGTTGGAAAACTGCCGAGTGATAGTCAAGTGTGGTTTACTCCTCTGATGATGAGGAGAACTCTGAACAACTAGACCCATCCCTTTAAGGTGCCTGTCTTAATGTTTATGGAGCACTTCGCCAGAACCCTGAACTGCCCTGAGGCTCTGAAAGGTGAAAAGGGTGTGATTTATCCTTCAGATGATTTTAATGCCATCTTGAGCCTAGTGGAGCTACTTGTATTAAAACGAAACATTTAGTAACAAACATGTTGAGTGTGGGAGTGCTGGCCCGGAAGTCTGGCTCCCAGGATTCCAGCCCAACCACCCTACACCAAGGTTCCTCAAGGCCGAAGTGAAAGACAAGTCCCAGATGGGCTTCTATGTCCCCTTGCTAGGCCCCATAAAATCTAGTCTCCTAGACCGTTTTTAGAGTAGGACAAACCCCTCTACCTGCTTGGTAGAGCTTTCCTCAGATCTATATCTGCCCCCTCCCCCAAATGGGGGCTTGGGAAGGATCAAGAAGAAAAAGGGAGATGAGAAACCAATCTAGGTATAGGACAGATGCTCTGTGCCCTCCTCTAGACTTTTCTACTTCTTTCTTTTTTTGAAACAGGGTCTCATATAGCCCAGGCTAACCTCAGAAGTTTACTTCCTGCCTCCACCTAGCTCCTTGTTGGAATTATAGGAGTATGCTGCTGTGGCCAGTTTATCTGGCAGTCAACCTAAGGCCTTGTGTATGCTGGACAAGCACTATACCAACTGAGTTACAGGCCCAGCTCTCCAGATCCTTCTTGCAGACCCTTTCGCCCAGATTCACAGTGCTGACACTGGCCCTAGACTCTGTCAACACAACTGTGTCTTTCACATGTATGGCACCGAATATAAAGGGCACAAGGGACAGGACCCTGAGTTCAAAACCACATGAGGATTATTGCATCTGTTCCAAACTCACAAAAACAACTATGCAATAACGAAGGAAATGTGGACACTGAATCACAGAGCAGGCTTTAACGAGGTTCTTTGTTTTCATGTTTTGCTGTGCTGAGGTTGGTTGGACCTCATGGGCTTGTGCATGACAGACAAGTGCTTTACCACTGAGCAGCAGTCCTTTTTTTTTAGTTCTATAATGGTCCTGGGTATATACTTTTAAAGTCTTACTGTTTAGTGACACACATCAAAATATTTTCTAATGCAACCATATATCTGGAATTTGTGTGGAGACCAAGGGGTTACAGGTGAAGGAGACTGGCACAGAATTGACCCATGTTTTAAAGCTGAGCGCAATAGGTGTCCTGCAGCGCCTCGTAACATCTCCTTTAACTTGGTGTGTATATATATATATATATATGTTAAATCTCCACACTAAAAGTTTAAAGAACAAAGTGTGGGTGGCACATGCCTGTAAAAGCAGAAGAATAAGGAGTTCAAGGTCATCCTAGGCTACACAGCAAGACCAACCTGGGCTTCATGAGACTGTGCTTCAAAAATCCAAACAAAAATTTAAAACTGAAGACTGGGTCCTACCAACGACTGCGTTCAATCTCTAGCCCTCCATTGACCAAGCATGGTGATACAGCGCCCCACAACTCCAGTAACGCCAGTATTTGGGAAGTGGAGGGGGTAGGATCAAAAGTTCAAGGTCATCTTCAGCTACATAGTGAGTTCAAGGCCAGCCTGGGATAAAGGAGACACTGTGTCCAAAAAAACGACGATGAGAACGGTCAGTTCCCATTTACAAATAAAAACGAGGGCGGACATCCTCCAACCTACACTGTAAACTTCGCTTGCTGGACGGACAGGGAGTGTTGGCGACCCTCACTCCACGTGTCCAGCTCTAACAGCCCTTCGGAATCCAAGACCCCGAGAGTGGTCCAGCTTCCACTCCCACGGTCCCCAAGCATCCAAGGCTCTGGAAAGCTCTCAGGCCCCTAGGGGTCACCGGAGTAACCCCGGCTGGCGTGGCCTGAGGTCCCTTTTGGAGGGGAGGGTGGCCCGGCAGCAGAGTCGCCGCTCCGTGGAGGACAAAGGGGGCGGGTCCCGCGCCCCACTTGGGCCAGGTGTGTGTGGGCGGCGCCGCGCGTCACCTTGAGGATGTTGTCGAAGATGGTGTCTCGGAACTCCAGCAGCGCCTTCTGGTCGAACTCACGGCCGTGGATGATGCGCATCTGCTTGAGGAAGGTGGACTTGCCACTCTCGCCGGCGCCCAGCAGTAGGATCTTGACCAGCCGCCTGACCGCGCGCCGCTCGCGGGCCAGCAGCGCGTCGATGTCGCGGCTGCGCCGTCGGGCCTCGCGTTCCGCGTCGCGTGCCGCGCCGGCCCTGCGCTCGCGGGCTCCGGCCTCGGCCGGCAGCAGGCAGCGGCTGAGGGTCCGCACCACCCCGGACATGGCCGCCCTCAGGCCGCGGCCGCGCCCCGCCGAGGCCCGCGCGCCATGGACGCCCCTCAGCCGGCGCGGCCCTGCCGGGCCAGGCGCCGCCCCGCCCGCCGCTCCCTCAGGCCGCGTCCGCCGCCGCCGCCCCGAGGCCCTCACTAGCCGGGCCGGCTGAGGGGCGGAGGGAAAGGCGCGGAGGGCGGGTCGGTACCGCTCAGGAGCCCGTTTATTGGTTGATGAGCCGTCCATCCTGTGGAGCGCGCCTTTTTATTGGACAAGCGTGCCTCGGAGGAGGCGGGAGCTCCTGTGGCCCTTGGGGCGGAGCCGGCGCCGAAAGAGGCGGGATCTTTGCGGGTAGGGTGCGTTTCATTGGACAGCCGGGTGAGCTTCTTTCTTTCAGAATGAAAGGGAGGCGGGGCCATCCAGGAGGAGGAGCTGCAATCCCCCGCGGCCAATTATAAGTGTTCAGAGTGTCTGTCAATCACAGTGACCATGCGAGGGATTGGAAATTGGGCGGAATGAGGCGTGGCCACAAGTGCCAGGTGTACAGAATGACTTTCTGCCTGGATTCCCAGGTTGGGTCAGGCTGGTGGGATATGGCTCTTCCCAGAGCTGCCTAAGAGTCGGCTGAAAAGCTGGGAAATAACGATGAAATCCGCCTGCTCTTAAGTTTAGGGAGAAAGCTCAGCCGTTTTCCTTCCAATACTGGATCAAGGTGGGCCACAATTTGGGGTGTTGCATACACCCCAAATAAGGAAAAAACCAAAAACAAACAAACAAACAAACAAAAAAACCCCAAAGATTTGCATGGGCCTCCCTAGGCACTCTCTTAAAATATGAATAAGGGGAGATGGCTCAGTGGGAAAGGGCGCTTGCTGTGAAAGTGTGAGGACATGAATGCAAATCCCCAGTTGTGCCTGTAACCTAGCATTGGAGAAGCCAAGATAGGCTAATTCCAGTATCTGGCTATGTGGCTAGCCTAGCCCAAAGAGTTCAATGAGAGAATCTATCTCAAAAATTAGGGTGGAAAGGCAATACAGCAAGACATCAGGCAACATCATGGCCTCTGCATATATGTGCACTGGTACGTGCGCGAGCACACAGACACACACTTGTGGTTGTCATAATCACTCAAAGCAGTCTGATATGGTATAGTGATAAAAAAATCATGAGGTCTGAAGGGTGTTGGTGGTGCATGTAGGTCATCACAGAACTTGATAGGCTGAGAGGCAGAGGCGAGAGGATTGACCTGCGTTTAAGGCCAGCTAGGGCTAGCAGTAACTTTCAGGCCATCTTGGGTACAGGGTGAGAGTTTGTCTCAGGGAGAGGCTGGGAGGAAAAGGCAGGCATGTGTGACAAGATCCCACTTTCCATTACAAGCAGAACACGACCTCTGGCATTGGCCCTCAGCCTCCCACCTTGTTTGAGGCAGGGTCTCTTATTGTTGGCCATTGCATACACTAGAGTAGCCCACTCACCAACTTCTGAAGACTCTCCTATCTCCTATCTCCACTTCCTGTCTTGCCATGGGAATGCTTGGATTACAGATGCTTGCTACTGCATCTGGCTGTATGTGGTTTCTTGGGATCTGAACACAGGTCCTCACTCTTTTGAAGCAAATGCCTTACACACTGAGCCATCTCTCCAGTCCACGCTTCTATTTTTTTGAAGTGGGGTCGCATTTATCTCAGGCTGACCTTATGCTGTCTATGTAGCTAAGGATGACTTTGAACACCTAACCCTCCTGTCTTTGCCTCCTGAATGCTAGGATCACAGGTGTTTGCCATCACACCCAAGGGTATGTCTTTAAGACAGAAAATAGGGAAATCTGAACCCAGGAACTACAGTTTGTTCCTTATTCAGTTAAAAAAAAAAAAAAAAAAGAATAATTCTCCATTTTCAGCAAATGCTCCAGACATTTACAAATAACTTTATAACTTTATAAATAGCTTGACGCCATGTTTATAGAATCATTAACTATTTTAAATGATCACTTAGATTTTTTTAGTGACACATTGTGGTGTTTTATGGGAGAAATTATATACTGTTGATAGTATCTAATTTGGGACTTTGACAAGGGTTCTGGCCATATCCTTCACATTTGCTAAAAGGCTAAAGTACTTGAAATAAACACGTGTATCTATGCACTCCATAATAGTCTCTTAATTACCCCTGGCATTTATATGGCATGCTGTAATTTCTAAAGTGCTTCGACATACATTATCTCATGTCATCTATTTTCTCCACAATGCTGGGAGAGGAGCAAGCATTGGGCAGTTGTAGTAAAAGAATCCAAGGGCTAGAGATATGACTGAATACAGTGTTTGCAGAGCAAGCATGGAGCCCTGAGTTCAGATCCCCAGAACCTGTGTAAAATGTCAAGAGGAGCGGTGTGTGGCTCTAAACCCCCCAGTGCTGGGTAGGAGAAGGCAGAGACAGGTGGATCCCTGGAGCTTATTGGCCAGCCAACCCAGCTGAATCAATGAGTTGCAGGTCCTTGGGTGTCTTAATTTGCTTTTATGTAGCAGTGATAAACACCATGACCAAAAGCAATCTGGGGAGGGAAAAGTTTGTGTTAGCTTACAAGTTACAGTCTACCATCTCTGGAAGCCAAGGCAGGCCTTCAAGGTAAGAGCTTGAAGCAGAGACGGTGGAATAGTACTGCTTACTGGCTTCCTCCCCCTGACTTATGCTCAGCCAGCTTTCTTATACAATCCAGATATGGCATTGCCTACAGTAGGATGCCTGGGCTGACTTACATCAATTAGTAATCAGAAGATGCCCACAGGTCAACCTGATTCCTTCCTTCTAAATACATCAAATGGCAGCTGAAGCTAATTACAGTGGACCCTGTTTCGAAAAGAAAGGAAAAACATGGTGTGATTCAAGCAACATATTTAAAGTTGACCTCAGACCTCCATATACCCACATATGCATGTGCGTGCACACACGATACAAGTACATATTCACAGATACAAACACACAAACACACCACACTGCCCTACACACAAAGAATGTTGAGGTCCAAGCACTAACAGTGGTTATTAGATGTAAGTTACTAAAGAGCAGGCAGCCTGACCTAGTTCCTTCCTCAAATATACTGTGGGTTTGGGGCATGCATGAGAGTTTAGAAGCTTTACTTTACCATTTAGGGATGTGTGACTTGGAATGAGTCACTTAATGTCTCTCAAACTCACCTTTCTTATCTGTAAATCAGGAAAAAATGGAGCCCTGGGGCTGGAGGATGTCTCAGTGTTGAAAAACACTGGCTGCTTTTCTTGAGGACCCAGGTTCTATTCTCAATATCCACATGGTGGCTCACAACTGTCTGTAACTCCAGTTCTAGGGGATTTGATACCCTATCCTGGCATCAGCAGGCACCAGGCATGTGCATGATTCATAGATATACATGTAGGCAAAACACCCGTACAAATAAAAATAAAACAAAAATTTAAAAAAGAGTATGTACTGCTGTTATTACAGAGGATTCGAATTCCGTTTCCCAGCACTCACATTGATAGCCCACAACTGTGTATCTCCAGATCCGGAGGGTCCAACACCCTCTTCTGGCTTCAGTGGGGACACACACACACACACACACACAGAGAGAGAGAGAGAGAGAGAGAGAGAGAGAGAGAGAGAGAGAGAGAGATAAAAATAAAAATAATCTAAAAATGGATCTTGATAAATTTCAAACAAGTTTATAATCAGAAAGGCTTAGTTGGGTGCTGAGGGTAAGATGATTGCTGTACAAGCATGAGGACCTGAGTTTGGGTCTTAGTGTTCATGTCAAAAAGCCAGAGTTGGCGGTGGGAACCTGTAATCTTAGCACTTCCAAGGTGGAGGCAGGAGGTTTAGCAGATGGTGTTGGTGGTAATGATGACGGGAATGGCAATGACGGTGACAATGGTCATGATGGTGATGGGAATGATGATAATAACGATGGTGATGGTGACAGTGATGATGGTGGTGGTGACTGTGGTGATGGTGATGTTAATGGTGACGGTGACGGTGAGACTAGTGGTAGTTATAGTGACAGTGAGGATGGTAATTATGGTGATGGTGACAGTGAGGACGGTGGTGATGAAGGTGGAAGTGGTGAATGGTGACACAGCAAAAACTTAAAATCTTGCACAAAGGAATCAGAACTTGTCACTGAGCTGAGCAGGGAAGCTCCTGAGGCCAAAATCAAAGAGAAAGCAGAGTCTGAGAGTTAACCTGCTGAGTTGGAAACTGTTCAGCTGCCCTCAGGCACCTGCAGGAGACTCATAGGTCTGACTTTCAGCTTCCCTGTGCTCAGCTGAGAGACAAGAGAGGAAGCCCAGGGACATCTGGTAGACCACTGCATGAGGCCAGAATGAACTAGCAAAGTCAGCTGTATGGGTGCTGCAACCATTTATCGGCACATTAAGTTCTAACAGAAGTGATTGCTCTTTTTTTGCTTGTTTGTTTTTTGAGACAGCTCTATGTAGCTTTTAGAGCCTGTCCTAGAACTTGCTCTGTAGACCAGCCTGGCCCAGAGATCCTCTTGCTTCTGCCTCCTGAGTATTGGGATTAAAGGCATGTGCCACCACCACCCAGCAATAAATAATTTTTAATTATTTATTTATCCATTTATTTATTTGTGTGTGTGTGTGTGTGTGTATGTAGGATTCCCCACAACACACATGTGGCAGTCAGGGGACAACTTCAAGGAGTTGGTTTTCTCCTTCCATCACGTGGGTAGTAAGGATCGAACTCAGGTCATTAGGCCTGGTAGCAATTACCTTTACCCATTGTGCCACATCACCAGGTCTTCAAGTACACCAAGAGGGTGTCAAATCCCCTGGCACAGGACCTAGTCTCAGTTCCCAGCACCTTTATGGAAACTCACAATTGTCTGTAACTTCAGTTCCAGGGGATTTGACACCCTCTTGGTCCTCCATGGGCACTGTATGTATGCGCACGGTGCATACATACATACATACATACATACATACATACATACATACAAAACACTCATAACACATCAAATAAAAATATTTTAAAATCACCAGACAAGAAAATAAGATATAAGTGAGAGCTAAAGAAATTTCAGTGAGTAGAGCCACAAAGCTTTGAGACACAAATGATCCAATATGGATG